TTCTGCTAAATTGCTTGTTTATCTAGATACTGCGAACATTGTATAACATATCGTATTCTAAAATCAACAAATAGCATAGCCGTGCACTCGGTATCTCTAACTATAATCAGACCCTCACTGCACTGTAAGGCAGTATCAAATCATATTTCTATGGAAGTTTAAACTGACTTTGCATAATCTTATATTATTTATATACTCCGTTTTTCTTGCACTAAGAGAATGTTAAAATGCAGAACAACCTTTTTTAAAAATCATACAGGGAAGAAAAAATAATCGAATGATTATATATTAATTGCTTAAAAGATTTAAAAGATTTAAATAAAGCACTTCAACGGCTTAAAACGCGATATCTTAGTTAAACTTATTTGAAAATGATTTTTAACTTCGGTCCGACGTTTCGGTTACTGCAAAGCGAACGTCCGAAACGTCGGGCCGAAGTTACTAATACGAACTAATATATCGCGTTTTAAACCGTTTAAGTGTTTTATTTAAATGAGTACTACTCGCGTAAACTATAGACAGTATTTTACGAAATACTAAGTTTAACAGTTTCCGTATAAATAAGTGTTTTTATGTGGATGGTGCAGATTTTAATTTAATGCCAAGCAAGTACGTCTTTTTTCTGTAGACAGTTATAAAATCTAAGATATAACAAAAAATATTTCCTTTTATTATTTCAACTATAAACTGTTCACTAAAATGTTACATGCACGATTATTTAAGTAAAGCAGAATTATGTTATTTCATTCAATACGATATTTCAAAGACTATTTACATGATAAATTAAACTGTTTTACTAATTGTTTAGTATCTCCGCAATAATCCCATATAATATCACATTGTAAACCCCGCTTGAACCACTTTGCCTAGCCGTTCTCGACTTCTACAAAGACAAACAAACAGCAATCGATTTTAAATACATATACATGTATATGATTACGTGACTGTATGTCATAAATCATTTAAAGAAACATTCACAGCCGATATGACCGAACACATGCAAACGTTTCTCTATAATCTCAAATACGACGTGATACGAAAAACTTTCCATTTTCCAATATCCTAGATTTTCTTCGCATGACACTGCCATGTGAAAACTGCCTCTCGCCTATAAGAGCACAATGGAATAACACTTTTACTATTTGACGGGAGAAAGGAAAACTTTTACTATGAAATTTACTTACATTGTCAGTGCAATATTGTTGTTGTATTATATGGCAACATTTTACGTAGTTTTTCGACAAAATCGTAACGTGGTAACGTATGGCTTTTATTAGCATTTGGGCGCATTTATAAAAACGTGCCAAATTTAGTTTTGTACCACGACTGTGTTTTAAAATTGTAGTTGAATTTTCAAATAGGTGTAATATTCGTGTTTTAAACCGTTAGAATAGTTTATTTAAATTAGTTTAACTAATACATTTCACGTTTGAAATCGTTAAAAGTGCTTCTTGAAATAGTACAAATTAAACTAAAACTCGCGTAAACTACAGCCAGTATTTTTTGTAATTCCCAATATGGACCTTAAGTTTCGCTTCGTGTTCTCACAATACTGACTAGGCAAAGTACTTTTGGTACTTTGCCTAGTCAGTATTGTGAGATAACCAGATTTCTTCAAGTTTAGTTACATATACATTAAACCAATCAAATTCTTTTAGAAAACAGTGTTGTTCTATAAGAAAGTTTCTCTTCACATTGCGATTTATACGATTTGCCCTCATGATAAATGTATCAAAGTCACACAGTGTCGTGACTGAGTGCATTTTTGCGATAATGGCGCCCCCTTCCGGCGTCTTCAGATACAGTTTCGGAACGTTCGCGAACATTAGCCACGCAACGTCCATTATATTGTCAAAAACCGCTAGTGTAACCCGATGCGCTTGGCTACTCACGAATAAGATAAATAATACACATGATAACAATTTAATCTACACCTACCTACCTAAAGCTGAAGAGTTGGTTTGTATGAACTTGCTAATCTCGGGAACTACTGGTTCGAATTGAAAAATTATTTACAAAAGACCTTTTTTTAAGGAAGGCTTTAGGCTTTGAAACATTAGGGTACAACCAATAGGAGCGAAAAAGACAGGGAAAATTCGGAAAATTATATATCTTTGAGGGCTTCCGTTTCGTTCGCTGTGAAAACGGTTATAGATACCCGAAAATAATGTGTGAAAGAGTGATTCCTCTTTAAATGATCTAAAAAAATGTCAGCGACAGTTTATGTCTCTGAAAATTAACTCGCAAGATCGACGGTACGCGGACGACGTCGTGGATTATGTGAGTGTAAATTATAAAGCTGAGGAGGTTTCTTGCAAAAATAAATAATATGATGCCCAAAATAACAATTTTACGCGGAAGATATCGTGGGCACAGCTAGTTGTATATATTAGGCATTGAAATGTCATTTAAATAAAAGACTTTAACGGTTTAAAACGCGATATATTAGTTAAAAATCATACATCGCTTGCATACAACTAATATATCGCGTTCAAACCGTTAGTGTTTTATTTAAATGTGTACTGATCGCGTACATACTATAGACAGCGTGGAAATGTTACTAAATCTTTTTTTGTAATATTAAGTAAATATTGTTATAACATGCAAGCCCTAGATATCACTTGAAACATGTTTTATGTGTACAGCCAAGTAGCCATTAGCTGTAGTTCACATGAGTAGTACAACACGTTTAAATAAAACACTTTTAAACGGTATAAAACGCAAACTACATACGGCATAATAGGAGTATACAAAACGTCGTCTTTCGCGTTTTAAACCGTTAAGTGTGTCCTTTTTTTATTTTTTGGTGTTTTTAATATTACAGTGCCACATTATACAATTAAAACAACATTACTCAAAAGATATCCACTTCTTTTATAATAAATAACTGTTAATCGCGTTAATAATTGTTTTTTCTTTAAGAATGAAATATCAATTTGCAAGAGTATATACCACCCGCTATTAGTGATAACCAAAGGCACGCCCGGAATTTCCTTGTGGCATCCAAGTAATTTGGTAATCATGTGGTTTATTTCGCAAGCTAAATGTATCTCGTGTTACATTGTTGGTGTTAGGTGGCCTAGATCTGGATCGTGTACACTTATAAGTAACTATATATATTTTATATCGCGTTCTTAATAAGTAATACTATTGGATTTTAATGGTTTTTAAAATGTATTTGTTTTATCGACATATTAGTAACATTAGATATATAATATAATATATGTAACAAACGCGTGTACTAGTGCAATTTTAATAACTTAGTACAGTGTAAAACGTGAAATGAAATGCTCCCATGACCATAATAGTTGAGGATGTAAAACATCGAGTCGTAGTTAAATTAAGTTTATTAATATATTTCGTGTTTTAAACCCTTAAGAGTTGTTTAAAGTATATGCATATGAAAACAAAATATTTACATGTAACTGGAATTACTCGTTTGCGTACGAAAAAAACAACGTTCTGATATAAACTTTTTGTTTTAATAATAGTTACTCTTAACCATTGTTATAATGTACTCCTTAACACAAATAAGTTTTCCTATGTCCCGGGAAACACTGCAAAATAAATTACGGTCATAAATTCGGAGTTTAAAAACTAGATAAAAAGTCTTGGCTTGGATGAGTTCGTAAGTTAAAAGATCCATTCATTTTACTATGAGATGGAGTACTTTTTGTTTCCTTAACGCTTAAGAAGTAGAACAGCGAGTTGATTAATTTTATACTACGCTGAAAATCTTTGACGGAATATAAAGCAATGTTTGCACTTGGATTGAGGCGTCTTTAATAACAAAATCGGTTAAGTAAAGAAATTGAGTTAAAATCAATTTTATAAATTAGTGAATTATTTTAAATGTATAATTGATTCGGTTATTGTTTTGTAAAATGGTAGACAAAATTATAAGAAAAAACAACATAACTACTACTTACATAGTTGGGTAAACTATCTAAAGAAACGTTTCAACTAATGAAATTTACTGAGATTGTGACAAGCAATCGGTTTATTGCTGGAATGTAACAACACGGCCACATAACATCGAAACACATATTATATCCTATGTATGACATGGATCTATATTGAAAAAAGCTGTGAACATATAATTATTTTTAAACTAGTGTATATAGGTTTAGCAGCCGTGGCCACGGGGGTACAGACAATATTTAGTATACAATATGAAATTATATCAGCTCAAATATTAAACTATGCATGTTATAACCAATTAGTCTAACATTGATTCAAACCGGCCAACGATTCACGCTGAATACAGCCCTATTGTTCCCTAATCGCCATTATTCAACGTAATCGAGACCGTAGCGATGCTGAGTCTCGGAGAATACATCATTAAGGTCTTATCAGCTTTCTCAGAATATGGGCTATAAGAATGGTCATCATAGTCATCGTTAGTTGAACAATATTATTTAAAAAATAAAGACTTAAATGCCCTTTGACTTTTTGGACAAGTTTTAAACGGATACAAGTGTTTTATGTAACGTGTAAACATAACTTACTTATTTAATACGAATTTTATAATTGAATTTTAATTCAATTAAATAACTTGGCAGTTTATTTTATTTAGATTAATAAACCACACGTTTGTACCACTCGCGTACTACTTACTTAATCAATGTCTCTATTTTTATTTTTATTTAATAAAATGAAATGACTAGTGGTCTAATGGTAGCGATGTTAATTGTCAAGGGATTGAGGAGAGAAAAGATTGCCATCAAAAGGTCGTAAGTACAATCCTCTTCGGGTCCAAAACGTTTCGAAGCAATTTATAATTATTTTGAAACATGTTCGACTTAGTCTGAAAATCTGGATAGTTAATGGGAATATCGTAATCAGGTCATGAACGACAGACCACAAAGAAAAAACTGAAAATAAATCGAGTCCAATTAACAACGTATTTCGTTAAGATCATTTAAACTTGCTTCCGTCCTCCTGTGTCGCAAAATCTATTCTAGTACATGCATTCAATCGCCACGTTTTCTTTATTCCAGATAAAGACGAGAAGCCTATTGGTGCGTCATCAGATGAGTGTCGCATTGCGGGCCGCGGAGCCCTTGTGAGGTCCCGCCTCGCAATGGGCTCCAACATCAGCCAACACTCTGCCAAGGGTCTCAAAGGGCGCCGCGCAAGATCAAGCGGCGATCTGTGTAATGGCGAGACGAAAAGCCAAACGGAGTCCTCAGTATGCGGTTCCGTTGTCGGCGACGTCATGGGCTGGAACCGGTCCCTGCCGAATCACCTAGATGGAAACAGGCACCTCGCTGACTACAGTCGCGTGAACAATAACTATGGTGAATTCGCTACGTACAGAGGCCACCCGAAGGGCGGGCGCGGCTTGCGGTACAGAATATCTAAGTCTGGTAAGTCAATATGTCATAATTACTATAGTTAGGACTCGTTGGGGGTGATGGTAGCAATGTATCGCTAATAAACTGATCGATGGATCGATCCCCACTAGTTTCCAGATCTTTTATAATATTTTCTAGAACATGTTGGGCTCCGTATCGAAATCTGGATATCAACTGGGCTATATCGAAATTCCGTCTGAGTAACGAACCACCCTGGATGAAAAAGCTCTAGTCTGTAGATTTAAGAATATCCAAAGCTTATACATATAATTGTGATTTTTATATGGCTAGGGTAGGTTAAGGTGGTTACCTTACATTAAGTGAATTCTATGCTTGTCTGTCCACTACATGTCACAAATTAATTAAGGTAAACGTAATGCTTATAAATTGAACGTGTCTAACGACCAGGGTTTTAATAAAAATATTTATTCTTTTAAATAAAACACTTTAACGGTTTAAAACGCGATATATTAGTTAAACTTATTTGAAAATGACTTTGTGTCTCCACGTGACCACGGCTGCTGCAAAGCATTCGAAACGTCGGCCTGAAGTTAAAAATCATTTTCAAATAAGTTTAACTAATATATCGCGTTTTAAACCGTTAAAGTGTTTTATTTAAATGTGTACTACTCGCGTAAACTATAGACAGTATTTAATATTTATTCTTACTACAACAATACATATTTAATGACAAATAGAGAGATAAACACTCGAATAAGGTACACATATGTTTAAAAAATATAGGTCACTAAGATTGTACTCGTATTTGAGATATATACAACTGCGAACATAATTTTTATTTTAACCATTAAGTTCAATGAAAGGTGCACAAAATATACTTAACTTCATCGTTTATAATTTTAATATTTACTTCGTCCGGTATAAGATAAATTATATTGCAAAGTAATAACACTTTTCGTAAAGTGCCCCAAGCTATAAACACGAATTCAATCTACAAAATAATCTTTGAAAGAAGTAATGCTTTGAATCCGGTCACTGCATTTCTTAAGAAATTACACCTTAAAATGCCGTTCCTTTGAACCGGCCATAATAAACTTTGAATACTCGAAAACCTCATTTGGTGTCGCTTCCAAATGTAAAATCTCCACGAAAAGATTTCGCCAATTCCAAATTTCTTTAAAAGCATTCACGAAACGTGTCGCCTGCAAATAAAAGCAAGGTTTACTCCCCAGTCCCGCAACTCGAGCACTATAAACTTTAAACTGCCAAGTTTTCCGTCTACCTACATCTAAGTGCTATTCTCAAGTATGCGGCAAAAACATTTAAAAGCCCGATTAAGCCTTCAGAGCCTTTGTGAAAGCCGAGAAACTGTAGAATCCTCGACATGATTTATGGGAGGCTTTTGTAAAATCCTAACACTCCGTTTAGCTGGAAATTAGAATGTACGTGATGTACAGGAATTGCCGCGCGACAGATGTGCGTGGCTGAAAGGCAATTTTCCGGTTAAAAAAACGTTCCTTTATTATGTAAAGTATTTTTAAATCAACATTTCTATTGTTTTTAATCGTGATTTGATATAAATATAATTATATATATTAATAATCAATAAAACTTAGTGCCGTGTGTTTTAAATATATTTTTTTAATTTCTCACATTTGTTTATATTAAAATCTTCATTTAGTTTAAAAAACAAATGAATAACGGTCGGGACGGTTAAAAATATTGGTTTAAATTAGATTAAAACAATACTTAATTATTGATGAATGATCAAATTGTAAATAGAATTTTCCTAAAAAAAAACTACTTTGTTTCTTAATTTGTTGTATTATCTCAGATTTTGTGTATAGGTATCCAATGTCTACTTAGGAATTCCTACTGTTTAAGTGATTATTATTACTATGTATCAAAAAATATTAAACAAAATGATACGTAACAACTATTAAGTAAGCATATAGAAATCTAATCTTTCTCATTTTATTACACCTAAAGAATGTTCTCGTTCGAACAAATAACACTTCACAGTCACGGCACAGTATAAAAATCTCATAAATCTTTCTCGGATCGATAATAATTTCCTTAAAAGCAAAACCGTCTACGCTCGAAAGTAGATTAATGTCATCCACAAAGACTTCAGAAATCACGGAACGTCCGTAAGTAAAGATGGCATTAGCGAAAGCATTAGTGGGATTAGCAAATAATCTTCTTAAATAAACAGAGCCAGTAACCGACGTCAATGTACAGCCTTATCGGATGAACTGATAAAAACATCTAATGGCGGGCCGTTTGTTCCTTGGGGTTTTCTTACGAATTTTTTTAAGGCCTTCGGAGATACATGAAAGGGAGCGCTGTTCTGTGTTTTAGGTTTATTAATTTAATTGCTTAGGAAATTCTTGTACACAATATATTGAATCAAGTAGATATTGTATATATCTATAGACAGAGCCAGAACTAATTTAGAATTGTTGTATATTATTTAAATTAGTTAAATCATTTTGCTATGAACCACCGTGTCCCGTGTTTTATTCAATGTAAAAAAAAGCAAAGCTAAAAAGTAATGTTCATTACGTTAAATCTAACACCTAGCTCTATACACAGGGTGTTAGGGATCGGACTGCCGATATTTTACCAGCGTGTTGTACGTCAAATTTTATCGACAAAATACTATACAAAGTGGGGTCGCGTCATCCCTCTGAATGGGAGCCATTTTAAAAAAATTTTTCGTACTTTTACGATTTCATTGAAACTCGTTGTTTTATGGTTTTATGTTGTCTACGTACACAAAAGTTACCTTATTTAAACTACGTTGAAATGTAGTAGCATGTAAAACCTTATTTGTTAAGAAGTTACTGAAAATAATAAACGAAAACCTTTGATTTAGGCGAAAAACTTGGTAAAAATTTTGGGATTTTTCTTAGTTATTGTGCTCTACCTAGAATTCCGGGTCGTTAAGATATCGTTTTTATTTCCTCTAATTTGTTTGCAATAGGTTGTGCTAACAATAAAACTTCAAATGGTTACCGCTAATCACCCAGTTATTTAGCCATCTAACAAACGAGGCAAAAAACCGTTAACCGTTAAACCGTCTTTAATTATTGGTCCTTCAAGCCGGACTGGGACTAGCTGTCTATTGACATAAAAGACGATATTTAACTTTTCATGACTGATTTGAAACTGTATAAAAAGACACATATTAAAACGTTCCTGGTTCATTAATAATTAGTTACATAATGTTCAAAGTGCATTTAGTGCATTTTAGAAGCCAACTTTACATGTGTTATTTTCATGTGCTAAACACTACATTTAGGTTAAATAAGTTTGTATGTTAAAATGAGAGAGTGTGGCATATTTCAGTCGCTTTCAGTTAAAGCCCTCCATCATGATGAGCTTCGCTTGAAATGCTATGTGGATTTTTGGGTAACCAGCGTGCAATGAGCTCTCAATTCTTTTTAATGTTTTTACTAACCTAATTTTTCCATCCGCTGTTTTTCATCTCGTGAAAGGGCAAGATTTTCTCTATTTGTAGAGCTATGAGCTAGGTTCTCGGCTTTCAGAGAACACGGACTGGATTTTCAATTTGATTTTTGTTTGCAACGAAGTGTGTGTTGTAAGTGTTTTATTAAAGCTTCTTGTGTTTGCGTAAGATCTAATGATGCCCTTTACTTATAAGTCACTTCCTCGTGGCTTAACCATGTCCAAATATCGCTAGCATAAAGAAAATTTAAATAAACAGATATATTTGACTACTTAGTTATAGTACAAAACTATAGACGGGTAATACATATGTAGTTTGTAAGTAAAGTTATTATGAAGAGCCACATTTGTTTTTTATGTACAATAATGTATTTGTTTATAAAAACAATCCAATTGTCCATATTAACTACTGGCGTATTTTTTTTAAACCAAGCTAATAGCGTGATACTTTGTTTGGTAAAGAAAGTATGAAATATCTCTATGTCTTTTAAATAAAACACTTTAACGGTTTAAAACGCGATATATTGGTTTTTTAAACCGTTAAAGTGTTTTATTTAAATGTGTACTACCCGCGTAAACTATAGACAGTCAGTATCTCTATGTCTGTCTATTTATTTAGAATTTTAGTAAAATTTCAATAATTTATTAAAAAAGACATCACGGAAAGTCTTAAAATGTAAAAAAAAATCTAATGGTAGAATAGCTATTATAAAGCTTGGGCATAAAAACAATGCGGACACCAAAGCGATAAAATTCCAGCTCGCACAGCAGTTTGCCTCCGTACAGATAAGTTATTGTTTCATATGAAAGTTATAAAATACAGTAAGGCTATAAAAGCGACTCACGCTGCGCCAAGTTAGTTTAGTATAATTCCGGTTTTAGGGGTTAGCAAAAGTCGGCGATGACGTCACAACTGCGCTTGAATGCGAACCGAGCCGGGTCAAGGGCAGCCGCAAACCGATACATTTATAAAATTAGCTTTCAAGATATCTATGTTATTTCACTTATAGCTCACAAACTAGTGTCTAGTATGTATGATTGACGTAGTGAGATCGAAATATTATGTAATGAATAACCATTCTCGCTCAATACAAAAATAATATTTGTTTGTTTCTGAATTATGCAAATTTAGTTTAAATGTAAAAAAAGAAAAATTGATATTATATAGAATTACTTATTGTGTGTTATTTAAAGAGTTTAAGAACTTTACTCCACGTGACCACAAATGTGAAGTGACTTCAAATAAGATTCACTATATCGCGTTTTAAACCGTTAAAGTGTTTTATTTAAATACAAACAGTATTCAGTTTAAAAACTAATAAAAATCTCTGGCGACTAATATACATTTTGCTTAACTTAAGAATGTAATGTTGTGGGTACCAAAAATGTTGGTCAGGTCATATTCTACAAATAAATTATGGAAAAAGTGCTTGAAATATTTTAATTTTAAGCAAAATACAGTTTTGATAATTATTTCGGCAACTCAATACAACGAGCAACGAAGTACTTTGACGAAATGATTACAAATTGTAAAACAAAAAATTTTCCGCGAAAATTCAGTTTCCCACTAATTAGGGCAT